CATGACCATCCCAAGCAAGCTTAAGGACCCGGATCTTACCCTGAATTGAAGACGGCCTTCTTTGGTATAGCGCGGTTTCCCAACCAACTTCTTACCCCGAAGTCTTCTTGACCACTCAAAGTGGAGGCAAGGGAGAAGTAACCTGAATCCAACTCCAGATCAATCTGGTAGTTGGCCCCCCCCCCAATTTACTGGGGAACCATACCCCGCCTGGCAATGATTCCCAGTTTGCAAGGACTTGCCTAGAAACTATCTCCCATTGGTTCTTCCCACTTCCATTGGTGCAGTGGGTGGAACCAACCTACTTGGGAAAGATATGGTTTGTCTCAAAAGGAACCCCCCCATACTTGTGGGATGTGGGCTCCTTCCAAACCAAGCCCGAAAAATCGGGTACCCTTCGCCTACACGCCCACTCCTCGGTTCCTTTCTGCTCCCCCGCTAGAAGTGAATAACTTGCGGTTTAATACGGAAAAACAAAAAAACATTTGGCAAAAAGTGATTCAGTCCGAACCTCCCTTGGCAAAATGCACCAAAGTTCAGCAACCCAGGAAGTTGCCCAGGCTTTGCAAAATTGGCTCCGGCAAAATGTACCAGTTTAGTAGGTGGCTTGGGGTTGTAGACTTCCTCTGTGCCCGCCCTTTCAACCGCTTCGCGGACTGGGCGCCGCCGGCACCAAAGACTCCCTCGATGGGTTTCGGGGCCCCTGCTCTTGTTGATCTCAATGGCCTCCTTGAGCGCTTCGCCACCTCGTCTCCCGCCAGCAACCCGGCAAGCCCCAAACCCGACGCATATCTTTTTTCGCCCAGCGGCCCACCTGAAAAGGAAAAACAAAAGACAAAACAAGTTGGAATTCCAGAGACGTTTGGGGTGCAATATTCCATGTTTAAGTGGATTTCTTGCGGGTCCAGGCAACTTCTTGCTGGTTCAAAAGGGAAAATGAAAGCACCAGAAAGCAAACAAATGCGAAAAAAAAGCTCCATTAAGCCCAGGGAAAGGGAAACCCAGCTGGACAACCAATTGGGCTCATCAGTGGTCTGGGTCCCTTTCTCACCTAGTAGCTATCCCACAAAACGTCCGGCAAATTTGGATTTATCCTGCATGTGCTCCACTAAGGGGACTTGTTATCCTGGAGTCTCCTTCAGACCTGAAGTTGGGTCAGGAGACTTCAGGTGGGATACTGTGGACGGACGAGATCCGTTTCGCACCACCTTTCAAACATCCAACGGAGTTATTCGATTCCCCAAACGTTGTGGTTCCGGCCCATGGCGAATCATTTCGTGGTGCGACCACATGGGCGGCTCGTCTTTTTCAAGGATAGACCCCCAACATGGTTTTCCTTGTCGTGCTCGTTTAAACCAAGCCCGAAAAGGGTATCTGAACCCGCAACCGACCCATAAAGAAGGCATGTTCACAAACAACAATTTTGAGTTGCAATACCCCCCCCCTTTTCTTGGTTGACGTTGGAAGGGGAGCAAACAAATTTCAACCACTAAACCACAATAAGATCAAAAATGTGTCCAATGTTTCCCAACGACAACCAAGTTTTGCAGTTGCAAATTTTGAGTTGCAATACCCCCCCTTTTGTAGTTGGAACCCTCCACAACATGAAGGACCCACAAAAAAACAACCTGACCTGCGCAACCGAAACTTCAACCCCCCCGAGGCTCACGGCTCACTTCACTCTTCTTGGGCCGCTCGGAGCCGGCGAGGTCGCACAAGGTGATCTTGCCATAGATCACCTCACGCATTGCTTGGCTGGAACTAGGACCCTCACGCATTGCTTGGCAGGCTGACCAACGAATCACATCTCCTGCCAAAGTAAGTGCAACAGATTCAAGCGGCGCCCGCCCATGCCAGGAATCCAACCTGGTCAGTGTCCTTTGCCGTCGCTTCGATGATGATGCTCAACCTCGCATCTGCGCGTCTACCCAAACGCTCAAAATGCCCTTTAACACCCAAAATGATGAGCTGAAATCCCAGCATTTGCACGAGTCTGGCAACCTCCTGAACCCTCAAACTACCCAGAACGAAATTCCATTCACGCCATAATTTTGGAGCAATCACACATATTGTTCAATACATCTTGAGGGTCCAGGCTCCGACCAACCAGTTGTGGAAGGGACCTTCATGGGTTTCGGGTCGCAACCCAAACCCTGGCAACTTGACTCGTCCAGAATGGAGGCGGACGCCAGGAACGCGCCAGGAAGACATGTTTGGTCAAGTCGCAAAGAACCTTTCTGGCGGCTTCCAAGGGTACCCCACCCTGGCACCATGGAACCTGACAGGACACGTTTGGTCAAACAATGACGCTTTCTGGTGGGTTCCATGTTGAGGGTACTTTATCAGCTCACCAATGGAATAAGCCAAAGTCTCACACCATTGAACAACTGAAAGAAATCAACATGAAATGAGCCTCTGAAAATCAGGTCTGAGGAATCGGAACCCCCCCATGGTGTTTGTTCCTGAACCACCCCATTGAAATGGGTGCCCTCGAAAAAGACGAGCCATCTGTGTTGCTGAGTGAAATGTTCACATGCAATTAGCTTGAAGTGCTGGCATTTGGGTAATTCCTTTCGACCCTTTTCCGGCCCCGGGTTTCCCTTTGAGAGAAGCCGTGCCACAAACCCGCAAAAAGACGCCTCAGAACATGAACTAGGTGGCACAGCAGCAACAGGAAATTCAGGCCTGGCCATTGCGCAAAATGGATACCTGGACCCCCACAATTCCCTGACAAACTGAGGTCATCCTTTTTTAATGGGAAGTTTGAGGGTCCGGTAGCTCTTTTTTATCCTTTTTTGATGGTTGCTTTTGAAGAGAAAACCGCTCCAAACAGGCGAACAAAAGGAAGCGCCCGGGGTCCCGGGCAACAAATGGGACCGGCTGCTGCTGGAGTTCATCGCGGTGGCGGCGGTCTGAAAATTCCCCGCGCTTTTTCCGGGCGAAGCGGAAGCAAGGCGACCCGTGGCAAAGCAAGTGGAGAACAGTCGAAAACATGAAAGAAAAACAGAAAGAAAGAATAGAAGGAAAGAAAGAGCGAGAGAGAACACAACAAGGAAACACAGCACAAGCAAAACAATCGCAACAAGCCATTCCAGCGCAAGCATGCAAGCAAACACAAAACAAACACGTGCCAAAACAGCGGCCGCTCGTTTCCTCAGCTTTGCTAGACAATTTTCAAGATGGAATTGTGCGGGTCCAGGTACATATTTGGGTTCAGAAGTGGCAGTTTCAACGGGAATTCAGGTGTCTGGGGGGGGGGGGGGCGCCTTGCTGCACCCATGTCAACCGCGGTTTGATAAACCTACGCCAAGTTCATCACAAGCTGACGTTAAAAAGTCGACATCAAAATAGGATCTGCACCCATGTAAAGAAATAAACAAACATAACACTAGCAAAAGTAACGCAACTAACATAAAGCAATGATCATGCTAGTATGGGAGTAATGACAAGTGTATCCATACTAGTGACTGTTTGTGTAAAAATAAACAAAGATACGCACGCACGTAGACATGTGTGTATCAAATTCTAGCTGGGCTCTCAAAATACCCATAAAAACAATATAATTAACTTCATAGTTTAAGGCAATAGCCACAAAACTCAGGGAATTTTGAGGGTCCAGGTATACATACCCCCTACTCCAAATACCCAACCTTTCTCAGGGTATTTGTCGAAAAAGGAAAAACCTGGGTTTCCATGGTAAATACCTCCTTTGTAGAGACATATACATATACTCCACATGCTGAACATCAGCACTAGCTCTTTGAGGCGCCCACGTGTCGCCGTCGCTCACCCTCTGCGAGCACCGCCTCCGGGCATTCTACACGCTTGAGTGACCCCCACCCATTTGCGCGTTGAACCCGGACCCTCCAAATTCCCGCAAGCATGACCCCCTACTTCAAATACCCGAGCTTTTTTCAGGGTATCACGTCAATCCTCAACTAAAAAAGGAGGTTTTTACAATGGAAAACCAGGTTTTCCAAAAAAGCGGGTATTTTGAGTAGGGGGTGAGTTATTGCCCCAAAATCAGGGGGCGACTTCCCCTTTTTTACTGGCAGTTTGAGGGTTCAGCTGCTCATGGACTTAAATGGGTGAATGGGCAGATAGAGGGTTCAGGGTTGATTCCAGTCTCGAGAAACCAGGGTGTGACACCTCGACAGTTTCTCCATTCTGAAAGTCAGAAACTGGAATCCGTTTGCCTTTTTCCTGCCACACCGGGGGCGAGATACTTTCGTCAAAAGAAAGGACTGGGGCCAAAGAGCATGATAAAAATTCTGTTCGCCGAGAGTTTTTCCGAGAAGAAGGGGACCAGGTCACCTCAAAGAAAGGCCTTGGGGACAAGGTGAAGGTCCGGGTCGGGCGTAATGTGGCGGATTTCTTTCGCCCAGATCCCAACAAGCTACAGCAAGAAACCAGCCATGGGCGGGGTTGCAGATCCCAAACAAGCCCTAGTAGGTGCCCAGTCATTGCCCTTCCCAAATTTGCCCGTTGGGCTTTTGAGTTCCGCGTGAATTCCTCGTGGAGCAACCTGGGACTGTCCTCTTTGAGGCTTCCCCTTGGGCTTTGACAAGGAAAGACGCAGGGATCCCAGTTCCTGCAGCTGGTTCATTTGGTTACCTAATTGCTATTTACAGGCAAATGGATCCAGTGGGGAAGAATAAAGTAAGCAAAACTCCAGGCCATCAAAAAGGACACCGTGCGCCAAGTACCTTACATCCAAACCCCAGCATTTCTCCCCCTCTCCTCCCCCCCCCCAAAAAAAAAAAGAGGAGAAGAGCAATACGAGTGTGCCGATTTCTCTCATCCCTAGACTTTTCAGCGACCGAAAGGCGAACTTAGAGACCTTCCGTGAGCCAATCTTCGACCTACCAGAACCTCCATTTGCGTAAGTCCCCGGGCACAAAAGATACAAACATGCAGAACCTTGATCTTCCAGGACCCTGAAAAAACAGTTGCCTTGGGCGGATTTTCCATTTTTTAACCAAGGGCAAAATCAAGAAGGGCCCTGTTTTTGCGGGCCCTTGGAAGACCAAGGGTAGTGATACGCAAGCTCCTTCGGAACCTAGGGGGGGAGTTAACAACATAAGCAGCGGGAAGATCCATGAAGCTTCTGGTACTAAACCAAGATTGAGCCTCTGTTTCCCTCGTTTGCCAACCCGGATTGGGGTGGGTTTGCTGCAGTCGCAAGGATCTGCTTGTCAGGCCAAATACCTTCCAGCAAGTCGGGCCAGGAGATTGGGACATCAACACGCCCTCAAAAGAACCAACCCAACGGAAAGCGCCATGGTCTGTGGGGGTCTTTCAGGGGTATCGGGAGTGGATCTTGGGAGTCTTTGGGGGTGGAAACTGTTACCCAGATAGTAGGTAACCCGTTTATTGTGCTTTTGGTCTTATATCGGGCGCTTGCCCTTGGCTACCCAGACAGTTCCATGGATCCACTGGGTAGACTAGGTATTTCGAGGCTAACATAAACCAGGTACTGGGCCCTCAACCCACCCATAAAGAGGGAAATCATCCAATATTTGTTGGGCAATAACCAATTTAGGGTAGGACCGGCCAACGAACCCCAGTTCCCAACCAGTTATAACCATTGTTGCAACCTCTTACTTGACGTTGGCAAATAAAAACATCCAAGGGTACCCTCTTTCCATGGAATTAAACCAAGGCTGCTGGAGGGTCCAGGTAAATGGCTGTCAAAATCCAAATCGTACCCCCAGTGAACATCCCAATTCCCACTAAAATAGGTGTTCCAAAATTTGGGTGGTGAATTCACCTATCCCAAAATGAATAGACTAAACAACAATTCACCCACCAAACTATAAAAGACTAAAACTTTGGGTGGTGAACTCACCAATCCCAACCAAATTCCACCTAAAATAGGTGTTTTCCAAAATTTGGGTGGTGAACTCACCTATCCCAAAATGGGATCAACCGTTGACCGGTCGGTCGCCGCCCAACGGCCAACCGCTGGAAGCCCCGCTCCTTGAGCTGCTCCGGGCCCTCGATCTTGCGCTCGGAGACCCCCTGGAGCGCGCGAAGCTTCGGCTTCCAGGGGTGAGGGCGAGGGGCGTCCGTCGGCCGAGAAAGCGCGGTGCTTGCGGTACCCGGGACCCCGCAGAAACCCCCCCAAAAAGAGTCCCCGTCTAAAAAAAGGGGGGAAGGTCCCGGAAAAAGAAAAGGGGCCAGAGATAGAAATCTGGAGCCTGGACCCTCAAACGACCCAGAAGAAAGGGGAATCCTGAGCAGTGTCCCAGGTTTAAGTTGGAATTTTGAGGGTTTGGGTACCTGAACCCTCCAAATTCCCTGAGAAAAGTTGGAATTTGCCAACCATCATTTTGGGGAACCAAGTCTAAAGCAAATAGTTGCTGGGTCCAGGTGTTTGAGTCAGGGTTGGTGGATTCCCTTCTTCTAGGTGGTTTGAGGTCCAGGACCATACAAACGTCGGGCCTTGTCGCTTCATTATGAGGTCCAGAGCAACCCTGGGCAAACCAATTTGCGCATTGACCAAGTTGAAACCCCACAGCAACCTGACCCATGGTGAAGTATGCAGAACAGATCTTCTCAAAGGCTACTTACCTTGGTTGCTCTTTGCTCCCCTGCTAAAAGCTTATCTTTTAGTTTTTAGTGGTTTAATGGAAAACCATTAGTTGACAAACAGTTAAAGTCCAAACAGTTAAAGTTACACCCTTTCACCACATCTGGCAGTCGCGACTCGAAAACACCCCCCCAAGTCTTCCACTCCATGGCTGTGAAGTTGAGTAGGGGCCCACCAAACCACCTAAACCATCAAACTTCCCTTGGCATATTAAAACCAAGCCTCCAAGCGCCTTCTGGAAGGTCATGGGGCAAAGGCCGGAACCAATGCGATGGGTTCACAAGGCTGAAACATGCGCAGACTAACATGGAACCCCATATTAACCCCTCAGGTTTGCGGGAAGCTGGTTGTTGCCCTGGTCCAATTGCAGCAAGAGATCTCGGTCAAGGCCTTACATTGGTACTGTGAATTAATGAAATCCGATTCGCACCACGAAAAGATCCAATGTTGAAAGTTGAAAACATTGTTGGTATTCACAGGGGAGCATCACTTCAGGGTGTCTTAGCTGGAGGGCTTCGTCCATCCACAGTATCAAAGTGGCTGCAATTCCCACAGCAAAGCCAGTTGAGTCAATCAGCCAAAGAGCGTTGCAACATAGAAACCGGCCTGCCGCCCAGGATTTATCTCGCAGATCCTTGTCACTCCTTGTCATGTGTCCGAAATTGTTCGTTTGCTGAGGATGCCGCCAACACATACATGGACCCTCACAAAATACCATTAACACTCGGCTATCAATGGTACTTTGAGGGCCCATTCATTTACCAGTCGTGCCCAGCTCCCTTTGAAATCATCAAACATCGCCGCAAGCAAATGGACGAAACGCTACATCTTCATCCGGGGCGTTTGCAATCCGATAAGCGGAATCATGGATATTATCAGGTGTGACCAAAGAAAGTAGGCAGAAAGTG